AACGTCAAATTGTAGATCTTCACCTCGTGTAAAAACGATTCGACAAATTTGTCACTGACGTATGTGTGCAAACATTTCCTGATTTTATTTAGGTCTAAGTAATTTCTTATTCCAAGGATCTGTAATCTTTACATACAAATGAAGAGAGGCTAGGTATAAGCTCCGTTACAGGCATATAGATTGTAGTCCTTTGGTACCGTTAATACCTTTACCTTTCTCCACAGTCTTGCTACGAAAGATAACCCTAAAAATGCTATAAAAATCTGTATACTGCTAAGTCTTGCTTCGCTACGTTCTGCAACATCAATGCATTATACCGTCTGTTTAGGAGATTTACACCGTTGAAAAGTATTCATCGCCCGTATCAGCTTTGGATAGCCAATTACGTCATTTATTAGAGATTAATCGTCTCAAATCTTTGCAACCCGGAAAATTAATAACTAAAAATAGATCTAAAGACTCTAATCCGGAGTTAGTCTACTATTTGAGTCCTTAATATTATTTTCTGAAATCTTGGCGCTTCGATAACACTTTCTATTGACCACATCCAAGACTTGCGTTTAGCTCTCATCATTACTCTCTTCTCATTATTGTTATGCCCTTTTTAGGCCATCCAAGGCATATAGAGGTAACTTCTTCGTTTTCTCATGAAGGTGATCCACTGGAGTCATGAGGTGATACCCTGTTGCAGTTCTCAGGGTGGCATGATGGCAGTTCTGAATATTCTTCCACTGCGTGTCACTTTCGCAAACTTTACTGGTTCGCGTAGTATTACCACTGACCGGCCTATTGCTTTATAAGAGGTCAACAAGTTTTTTTCAGAGCTCCAAGTGCTGCTGGCAAGCGACTTGAGAACCTTGTTCCTACTTGACGACTTAAAAAGGCCATCGAACATGTAGTTTGGGGTCGGAATCAGTTCTCCATCGAACATCGATGTTGATTTCTGTTTTTGTAAGGAAATAGATCAGACCCAATACGAAACCAACTTTGCTTCTGTTTAGTCGATCCGGATTTCTGTCCGGATTTCTACATCTTGACTTACTCTACATCTGTTCAAGTCAGAAAAGAGGAGGTGTGCACCATACCTAGGTCGCTATCTCTTCAACAGGTAAAGCTGCTAGATTACTAGCCTTCTAAAGTGGTTCAAGGACATTTTCTTTGCATCAGGTTGCCGTTCCTCTGTTGATCCCATTCTCTTTATTGGCAAGGGGTTTGAGTTTGAGATGGATTTATTTGATTGTTTTAAGGGGTTTCTTCAGGCTTGGATTTATTCGAAATATTTTCTAAGGTCTATTTTCAGGCGTAGATTAATTTGAAATATTTTGTAAGGTCTATTTTCAGGCGTGAATTAATTTTAAATGTCTTTAAGCGCTATTTTCGGGCGTGGATTTATTTTAAATATTTTCTAAGGTCTATTTTCAGGCGTGGATTTATTTTAAATATTTTTAATGCCTAACTTTAGACTTGCATTTATTTTTTTTTAAATATTTTTTCAAGACCATTTTTGTGGCTTGGATTTATTTAAAATATATTAAATAAATAAATTTCAAGGAATATAAGGGTTTTCGTGAATTTTATGGAATAAATATTTGATGATAGAGATACAAATATTCTCATTTCATTTGTCTAAGACTTTGGGACTTTCAAACGGATTATTTGCTTCATAGACACCCTATAAAATATTGGGCTTGACAGGCGGATATAATTCAGTTATACTTTTTTCCTTTTTCCATTTCACTTCAGTATTGAGAATTATTTCAAGGTGGCAAATCTGGGGCATTGCATTGACTGCGCTGCTATTCAAGGGTTTGCTTAAAAATTCGGACATAAACCATTTTTTTCAATGACTATGCAATATGATTGATTTTTTTCTTTTTTTAATTATTTTTCAAGCCATATGATCCATTGTATTCATTTAATTTTTATAATTAAGCATTCTCATTAAATGCTTCTTCAATTGGGAATGTGGTCTTTATTTTGTTTAATATGATTTTTATTTTAAATATTTATTTATTTGTGTTTGTCTTTATTATTTTGTGTATTTGTTTTAATTTATTGTATTTCTTTTTGTTTTCTTTTATATATTTTTTGTTTTGTTTTATTTTGCTAATTGAAAAATCGAAAAATCGAATGACCTACAACAAAAATCCTTTTTCTTCATATTTAAGGGCGTGATGTTCTATCCGAATTAAAAAATCTTAATAATAATAAAAATGGCTGTGCAGGTTCCTGTAAGTTTTGTTTCCAAAATTTGTTTCACTACTATGTTTATAACTCTTATATACATTCCGTTGTTATTTTTGTATAAACTACTTATTTCTGTTTACAATTTATTGGTTATTTCATATATATATAGTTTGTTTCTTATATTGAACTTCTACTTAAAAAACGACCAAGAGTTAAAAGAAGAAAGCTTAAAAAGTTTTACAATTAACCCCCCTTTCGAAATACACGCATACACACTATCTAACCTAAAAAATAAATAACTATATATATCATTATATTTTTTAATAACATTATTTTGTAAAAAAAAGCGATTTATGACTTATTTCTTGACTAAATACATATTTACTGGTTTACTGTTTTGTAGATAACTTGAAAAATGAACATATATGTATTTAAGAATTAAGGAGAATTGTTTGAAATATATATATACAGCTCGAAGGACCAAATTAAAGGAAAGGAAAACGATTGAAGTGAGAAAATAACATTGTTCTTAGTATTTAAGGATGCAGAAAAACCTATCATTTATCAGTGACTGATGTTATTTTTCTATAGCCCGAAGGACCAAATTTGTAAAGAGGTAAAGCCGGTTAAGTCACAATAAATTAGTTTTAGGGTTTGAGGACTTATGTCTAGAACCAAATTTGAAAAGAGATAATAGATCGGTTGAAGTAGGGTTTGAGGGTTTTTGTCTATAGAAAAAATCTGTTCTCTCAGTGGCTGAGAATTTTTTTTCTACAAGTAAAAACGTTGTTAAGCTGGACGTCTACATTCCAAATACCTAAAATCGATAAATTGTATATTGTCTGATATGTACGGCTCGAAGGACCAAATTATGAAAAGAGGTCAATCGAAGTTAGAAAATAAAATAGTTCTCAGTATTTAAGAATTGATGTAGAAAAAACATTTCAGTTCTCAGTGACTGGTGTTATTTTTCTAGGGCCCGAAGGACCAAATTTGAAAAGAGGTAATGTCGGTTGAAATCTGGAAAAATTAATTTTCAGAGCTTAAGGACTTTTGTATATAGAAAAAATCAGTTTCCTCAGTGGTTGAGCCAATTTTTCTACTAGTAAAAACGTTAACTTCAACAGGGGTATTTAAGGGTTCCTGTAGAAAAACATTTCAGTTCTCAATGCCTTGTGGTTTTTTCTATAACTCGAAGGACCAAATTTGAAAAGAGGAAAAGTCGCTTTAAGTCACTATAAATTAGTTTTAAGGGTTTGAGGACCTTTGTCTATAGAAAAAAACTTCTCTCAGTGGCTGAGCATTTTTTTCTACATACAAAAACGTTTTTAAGTTCGATCGAGCTGAACTTTTTCTATCCTCCTCCATGAGGTGTACATTTAAAATACCTAAAATCGATTGGGACTTGTATATGGGGAGCTATGATATTGTAAATTGCTGGCAGGGGAAACCAACATATAAAACTCAGACACTCAGTTTGTAAAATTGGACCAATACCTTGATCATACCGAAAATGACGCATGACCTTCCTATAGGGGCTATGTAGAAACATTGAAAATGTTCTCTGAAGAAATGTTGTATCCCACAAAGTCCAGGAATGACTTTATAATGCTTAATTATAGCCACTTGGACTGGAAAATGCACCTGGGCCATCAAAATATCTATTAATGGGATTGAGGCGATCGACCTATATATAACCTTTTTACCCAATGAGGACTTAAAATATAAAATTAGAGTCAATTCGGATGAAAATATGGGGGCTACCCTAAAAATGGTCCAATATTGATATTTTTGGAGGATTTGTGGTTGAAAAACGTGTCCGAAATCCTCAAAATACTCAAAATTTTAGGTTAGGTTGGGCACTACCCTAAAAAGTGGCCCGATATTAATAATTTTTGGTAGGGAGATTTTCCAGCCAGTGCGAACCCAAAATAAGAAATTATGTCCAATTTCGTCGAAATACATGTCCGCAATGCTCAAAATTCCGAAAATTTTAGGGTATCCTTAAATGGGGACTTCCGTAAAAAGTGGGCCGATATTGATCATTTTTGGCAAGGATATTTGCCACCCAATGCGAACCCAAAATATCAAATTTTATCCAATTACGTTCAAATACGTGTCTGAAATCCTCAAAATACCCCACATTTTTGGGAACCTATAAACGATGAATACCCTAAATAGTGGACCAATTTTGATAACTTTTTGTAGGAAGATTTGCCACCTAATGATAATCCAAAATATTAACTTACATCCAATACGGTTGAATAACGTGCTCAAACTCCCCAAAATTCTGAAAATTAGAGGTGTTATTATATGGGACTACCCTAAAAAGTGGGCCGATATTCATAATTTTTGTTAAGGAGATTTGTCACCCAATGTCAACCCAAAATATCAAATTATGTCCAATTCCGTTGAAACACGTGTCCGAAATCTTCAAAATTCCGAAAATTGTTGGGTACTTTTATATAGGGACTAATCTAAAAAGTGGACCCATATTGATTATTTTCGGTAAGGATATTTAGCACCCAATACGAACCCAAAATATCAAATATCAATTCCGAAAATTATTTTGGCCCAATTTTCTAAACGGAAAAATAAATTTAATAAACATCCCACTCTATGGTGAAGAGTATAAAATCTAAGAAATAATAAAAATATAAAGTTCTTCCGATTGATTTGGTCTTTTGATTTTTTTAGTTCAAACCTCTCCCCCCATTTCTCCTTAATTCGCCACTATATATGTCTATTATATTTTTTATTTTTGTAACAAAAAAATATTTTCTATACGTTTTTTCTTTTCGCTGTCTTTGCAGTAAAATGTATGTTCAAAGAGGCTGGTGCCAAGGAGGGCATTATCGATGTCCTTATGGAATTTATTTTGGGCGATAATCCCAATACGGTGTTGGAAAAACTACGTCTGGAAGGTGCCACATCGGCGGTATGCGGCAAAGTTTTTAAAATTGGTGAACCTACATACAGTTGTCGTGAGTGCGGCATGGATCCGACCTGCGTTCTGTGTGTTAATTGTTTTAAACAATCCGCACATCGTTATCACAAATATAAAATGTCGACGTCGGGCGGTGGCGGCTGTTGTGATTGTGGCGACGAAGAAGCCTGGAAAAAGGATCATTACTGTGAGGAACACTTGGTGAGTATAAAACACTTTAGTTGCTAAAGGTTTTCTGAAAAAATCATAAAGTAAATAATTTTCCGAATTTTTTGTCTGATTTCTATTAAACTTGTTCTGGAAGTAGGCTCCTCAGGATTCGAATGCTAAGTCGGTGAATAATTTTATGAGAAGAATGTTTTTCCAACCCCAACTGCACACTGCTTTTATAGGAAAATCGGCGTTGTGACCATCGACCAGCAGCCAAGGATCATAATA